ACACCCATCGCTACTGTGTGCTATAGGACATCAGTAGATACACCCATTGTTACTGTGTGCTATAGGACATCAGCAGGTACACCCATCATTACTGTGTGCTATAGGACATCAGCAGATATATCCATTGTGACATCAGTAGATACACCCATTGTGACATCAGTAGATACACCTTTTGGGACATCAGCAGACATTCCTTGTAGCATCTGTGCCTCTTGTCAGTTAACACTCTAGTAAACCTATCTACCCTGTTCTCAGGTAGAACTTTTAATTAATTAATTTTTATTATTTGGGTGCTGGGATTCTAACCCAACACTTCTGCTTCTGAGGCAAGCATGTTACCATGGAGCTACATTTCCAGCCCTAGATTTTTCTTTAAAAATATTTATTTTTACTTGCATGCATTTGTGTGTCTGTGAGTAGTATGTGGGGGTGCCCAATAAAGGCAGGAGAGTGCCTCATATATTGGGTTGGTTAGATTTTTGTCAGCTTGACAAAAGCTAGAGTTATCTGAGAAAAGGGAACCTCGACTGAGAAAATGTCCCCATCAGACTGGCCTGTAAGCAAGCCACAGAGTGCAAGCGAATAATCGGAATTTCGGTTCCTTCTTGAATTCTTCCAAGGAATTCCAAGGAATCTTCTAGATGCCTCCCGTGAGTTCTTGCTTTGCCTTTCATCAGCGGACTGTGACCTGGAATATGCAATCCAAATAAACCCTTCTCCATGAATTGCTTTTGTTTGGTGGTCTTTAGCGCAGCGATAGAAAGCAGACTACGACAGATTTCCTGGAGCTGGAGTTCCAGGTGGTTGTGAGTTGCCAGGCATGGGTGCTGGGAACAGAACTTGGGTCCTCTGGAAGAGCAGCAAGTACTCCTAACTGTTTAGACATTTCTCTAGCTCACCCTACCCTGATCCCTCTTAAAGGGGAAAAAACTTTATATATGATTGGATGTAACCTTTTCAGTGTTTAGAGAATATACATCCTAAATAAAGGGATGGCTTAAGGGCAAGGGAAAATTCCAGTAGAAATGAAAACAGTTTAGAGAGATGGCTGGTGACTTTGTCTGATGCCATATTGCTCCTTCTGGGGTCACCATGGCCAGTGGCTGACATGCAAGTGGGAGGGTTGGTACTGTCCCATCATTTCCTCTGTAAAGTCTTTTTATTCATCATGGGCATGACCTTATTTGGCTTTTCTTGGTGTGAATGCTTCATTCATATTCAACATTACATTTTCCTTTTTTCCATTAATGTATGGCAGCTACAGTGTGTAGCACGGACACAGTTTCAGACATAAATGTAAACTTGAAATTTGGGCACTGAAATCTTTGGCCCAAAAGATAATGAAAATAACCAATCCTTTCCATGGGGATCTTGGTCTGAAACAACAGATAATGATTGGATGACCTCTCCGCAACAGAGATGGCGCCTTTTGTATGTTATTTTGTTCCTACCATACGAGTACAAAGGCAGTGATGCTGCCTGATCCCAAAGGCTGTTTTGTGATCAGTTGAGCACATGGCTGGCATTTATTAAATGTTATTGTGCTATCATAACTACTTTTGCTGGTAGTTGGTGACAGTATTTGATAAATTTAATAAAGAGAAAGCAGGGGCTGGGGATCACTCAGCTAGTAGAGTGCCTGCCTGCTTACCATGCACAAGGCCCTAGCTTTGGCTCCCAGCATAAACTAGGCACGAGGAACAGAAGCCAAAAGTCATCCTTGGCTACACAGCGAACTCCAGGCCAGCCTGGGCTACATGCAGCTCTCTAAATGAAGAAAACAAAAGGAGGAAACAGGCCCCAGGACACTGTGACTTATCCAAGGAAGCAGCTGGTAGATGGCAATGCTGGTGCTCACAACTGAACCCAGAGCTACGTTCTCTGGGGCAGAGTTTCTGTGATTGCAAACCTGGTAATAGATGGGGGTCCTAGGTAATCTGAGGACCGACAAGCTTAACACATTAGAAAGGGCCCAGAAGCACCTGTCCTGATGGCAAACAGACATTGCGGTCACTTACACTTCGGCCGCTTTTCCAGCTCTGTTCACAGGTACTAGGTACGTGCCTGGGCTGGGCATCTCACACATTCTCACATCTTTCTCTGCTTTCTCTCTGGAGAGCTCTTTGCCTAGATATTTTTCTCCTCTCTTCTCTGCTCTCCTCTACCGTCCCCTCTTCTTTTCTCCCTCCCCTTTCCTTCTCTTTCCCTGTCCTTTCACTTTGCCTGCCCCTTTCCCATTCTCCATCTCTTTCCTTTTCCTTTCTGAGACAGGAACTCATGTGACCCAGGCTGGCCTCAAATTTACTGTGTAGCTGTGGACAATCTTGAACTTCCAGTATCTTGCTTCTACCTGCCACGTGCTGGGATTACAGGCAAGCACCTCTGTGCCCAGTTTATGCAGTGCCAGGAATTGGACCCATGCATACCAGGCAAGCACCCTGTCCATTGAGTCACATCCCTGATCCTAACTTGGTAAATTCTCATTTGCCTGGCAATAATGTTGCTTCCTAAAATATAGAATGTAGGAATGTTAAAAGTGCAACATTTTGTCCTTAAACTTAGCCTAAACAGAATAACGGGTCAGATGCAACGACTTCTTGTGCCACTGTGTTCTAACTTGAATGCCACTTAAGGTCCATTTGTGACCACGTCTCTTGTCCCCATGCTGAAGAAGCTAACTCTTTTCCATCTGGCCGTTGTGGTTAGAAGCTGCCTGCTGTTCCAAAGGTTCTCCCGCCAGAAGCACATCCCAACCAAGTTTCTCTCCCAGTTATTGGTGGCTCTGCTCTTCAGAGACTGCCTCTGCTTTGAAGGCTCTCCCAACTGGTGTGAGCCCTTCAGCCTGGCCAGCCTAACCAACATGTCCAAAAGCTGCTGGCTTATAACAGAGTCGTCCTATGTGCCTTGCCAAAATGACTCTGGTGCTAATCTTGGCGCTTAGGAGGTCTTCATCTCTGGAGAGTGAGAACCAGCTGTAGTTGAAGTTTCCTGGTATCCCAAGGGGTCGTCCACTAGAAGCATCTCCTGACAGAAGACTGGTTTAGAAGCTGTCAGCATCTATTGATCAGAAGCACCGATTCCTGCGTGGGCATGGAAGCACTCTGTGGTTCCCAAGTTGGGAAGTCTTTATTCGTGCGTCAGAACTTACCCAGGATCTATTCTTAAATATCTGTGTTATGTTAAGAGAGCTGTAGAGTTCTTCCTTATGTGAAAGTTAGAACTTAATAAGCTGTGTCCCCACTAGATCTAATCCTTGCCTAGGCCATGAGGGCATGGCTCAGTATCTCTGTTTAAGGCTAAACTTCCCTGCTTTAGATGTTACAGAAATCTTGAGTATTGATGTACAAAGTGGTGGTGTGGTACATGCGGGGTTTTCTCATGGACCTGGAGAGTTAATATGAACTTACAGAACAAGTTACAGATTGAGACCAAGCCCCTTTTCTTGGTCTATGATTTCCATCTCAACTTCAAAACAGAACTTACTTTATTGCTTTAAATGCTACAAAAAGAATGGATCTAATGTAGAAAGGGGACAGATTGCTATATTGAAGTGAGATCCCATTATTATTATTATTATTAACATACTTTAATATTACATGTGATATCATCATATCAATATCTTCCTGAGTCAAAATATTTTATTGAGCCATTAAGATGATTCAGTGGGTAAAAGCAGTTACCATTAAGCCAAATTTTTATCCTGGGGACCTACATGGTGGAAGGAGAGAACTTCAGGTTGCCTTTTATATAGCATGGATGTGCTATGGCACACATGTGTATAAACACACATATTCACACACACACGAGAGAGAGAGAGAGAGAGAGAGAGAGAGAGAGAGAGAGAGAGAGAGAGAGAAAATATATGTTATACACTATCTTGTTGTGGTCATCTTTTAGTGGTGCACAAAACAGCTGCTTAGGCTGACTTTGAACATCCTAAGTTGCCCAGGCAACTGCTTTGCCTCCCAAGTGCTGGGACTACAGGTGTGTGACGTCACCACCCATCATTATTAGCCACTTTTTCTATCCTTTCCTCTCTCACTTTCTTGCTGGATGAAGTTACTGAAACACAGTGAATGGGAAGACAGAAAACATGAGACACTGTGCTGCCAACAATGTGTCTCCTTGTAAGGGAAGAGGTGATCGGTGCCTTGAAAACAGGAGAGTGCTGGACTGTGAAGACATGGCTTTGTAGTGCTGAGAGCTGCCATTCATAAGGCTCAGCCTAATATCCAGGATGTCTGATGACCACCACCTTTTCTTCCCTACTGACAACCATAGTGCGCTGGGTTCTGTTGACCATCCCAAGACATTGTTGTCTATCTGTACAGAAAGTAGGTTTGTGGGAATACAGGATCAGTGCTATAGCTACTTAAGGGGCCAGAGTTTCTATCTGGTGTTTGAAGGTCGTATAGTTCAGTAGTGTTTTATGCCTGTGTACTTCTTGGTCATTTACGATGCATACTTTTCTGCCTGAAACCTGCAGTCCTAAAAATGGACTCCCCAAACTGGGTGGTTAGAGTAGAGGGAAGTGCCCCTGAAAGTCTTCTCAGGAGTTCTAGGATTGAATTTCAGTTAGGCCTTTTAATATTTAGAAAAACATATGAGATGCTTGAATGATTATATAAATAAGATAAAAATAAAAAGAATGCTGAAGGAGGCAAAAGACCTACAAAAGCTTTCTGGCTAGAGGGTGCCATGTACACTCCTGGGGAAAATGCCATCAGTGACGTCTTACCATGCTGTGAGTGCGGTAATGACCAGAATGGCAGGATATGGCCATAGGTACCAGGGTGGCATGAACGCTATGGGGTTAACTAATCAATCACGGGACTTAAGGCCTTTTCCACAGGAGGAAACTCATGCTTGGTACTGTGAATCTGGCCAAGAGTGCAAGGTCGGTGAGCACCGCAGGAGTGAACTGACAACTGCTAGTCTGCTAAATGAACATAGTATCAAATGACACTCTGCATTCATGTCGCTGTACCCACAGGTTAGTGCAGCTCTCAGATGTCAGAGAAGTCTCTCTGTGTAGCTGAAGGTGGTTAGTGAAGCTCCCCACTGTTCAAAGTGCAGAGAGTAGGTGTCACTGGAGGACTGGACATCTACATCCCTCTTCCTTCTTCCCCCCCCCCCCCCCACCAAGGACCATCAGGAAGTGGGAGTAGGAAAACTGTAAGAGCTAAAGACAGGGAGGGCTGGCATGAAACAGTGTTCTCTGGACAGAACAGGACCATCATACTCACGGATGGTCAGCAGCTGTGGTCACCTTCACAAGACCTGGACAAGACCAAGTCACTCAGCATTCCATCATGGCGGCAAAGCTCAGGAGTCAACATCCTCAGCCGAGGAACTGTGGACAGCTGATGACATTCTGGGGGAGGAAGACTCAGTTTTCTCTAAGACGTGGCCTGGAAGGGCAGCTGTGCTCTGGTGTGTGTTCCACACCGAGGAGTGTATGGTCAACACAAATCAAAGTCGAATGTGAAGTTCTGAGGAGGTGGGGACTTGGTGGTGTGTCTGGGGGGAGTTGGGGGTGAATGTAATCAAAATATAATTTATGAAATTATTATTTATGATTTTCAAAAGATCAATAAAAATTTAAAGAGAAGAAAAAAGGGAGGTGGGGAGAGCCATTGGCAGTGAAGAAGGCTTGCTGCTCTTGCAGAAGATTGGGGTCTAGTTCCTAGCACCCCTATGAAGGCTGGTGGCCATCTATAACTCTAGTTACAGGGCACTGATACACTCTTCTGGTCTCCGTGGGTGCTTAGGCATGTATGTGGTACACACACACACACACACACACACACACACACACGCGTAGGCAAAACACTCATACACATTAAACAAACATCTTGATGGAAGAGCCCCAAACTCCAGCTACATGCCCTCCTTTGCCTTACCACCTGTTTGGTTGGGAGTATGGTGGGCATTTTACACACAGTGGTAACAGGATGAGATTGTGGTCTGGGGAGATTTCCTTGCCCAACCTTGATTATTTTAGCACCTTGAGGGGGTTCAAGGGTATAGGTGTCCAACTTGTGGTCTGAGGGGTGCATGCTCCCTCTGATGACTGTGAATGCAAGCCAACACAAAATCATGACCTTACTTTAAGTGTGTTTCTGATTCTTTTTTTTTTTTTAAATAACTTGATTGTATAGTTGAGCATGAGCGTTTAGGTTAGATTTTGGGGCAGTCTCAGAAGGTGTGACTTCAGGGGCTGCTTCTGAAGTTGGAGAAAAGGTTGAGGCATGCTTAGTAGAGGATCAGTTCTGTCTTCTGTGAGGACGAGTGTATTATGAAGAACCAGACGGGCAGCTGTCACCAGTCAGGGCAGATGGCTTATCTCCACATACTCTGGCATTGGCCTTCCTCTGGGCACCTGTATCTTAGCCAATTTTAACCTAATTTCTGTTTTGCCATAGCATGTCTTCACCAAACTAACTGTGCCATGAAAGGGGAGTGGTTGGCAGAGTCCTTAAAAGCTTGGGGGAATAGGCACAGTATAGCCTTTTTGTTTTGAAGAGCCAGCCTTTAAAGCTGCGGAAGCAATCGTGGGGTCAGTGGCTCTGAGCTGTGAGCAGCTGGGTAATTTCCATTTCTGTTCCATTTGCTCTCCAGGTGTCTTACATAGGCCAGGACTGCAGAGAAATCCCAGAGCAGCTCAGCAGGGACTATGGACATTTTGCAAAGAGGCTTGATCTGAGCTTCAACCTGTTGAGGTATGTAACCTTGGAGAGATGCAGGCCAGGCCTGGGCCACCCAGGTCCCTCCAGGACCTTGGGCTGGCAGATGCACGTCACAGGCCCCAGCTCTGTGCAGGGTCTCAAGAAACATGGAACCACATGCTAAAGTCTGGTGCTGCTGGTCTTCTAGGAGGCTGGAGTTTCGGAGCGCGGTTCATTCACCTCGTGGCTGTGGGAGCTCTTCCACTATTTACTTTGTTCCTTTCCTTTCCTGTGGAAGCTTATGGAGAAGGAATGAGATGGTATCATGAGTGTTTTAGGAATGGTTGCTTTTTAAGAATGACTGCCTCTCCCGGAATGTATCAAATCACAGATAGATGTACATGTGTGTATTTCACCTTCGTCATTTTTAGTATATGAGGATGCTCACTCTCAAAGAACTTCTATTGATGTGGAGTGGTTGGGAGGGGAAGGGATTTCTAGCAAGTCTTTGAGTCTTGGCCAGAGTTAGGTGTGATCTGTATGGCAGTCCAATGGAGGGCAGCAGGAAGGCATTTCCTTCCTTCCCATGAGTTACTACGCTGGTGTGTGGGCTTAGCGGATGAAAGTTGGTGGCACTTGGACAGCAGGTATTGGTGGGACCGGTGGACGGGGTAGGGAAGGCAGCTTTTACTCCCGAGCTGGCTGCAGTTAGGCTGTCCTCTAAGGGATGTTCTTCTCATTCTGCCCTCTGCTCAGGACCTGACCGCCATTCCAAGACCTAGTTATGTTCCTGCTTTTAGGCCTTAGAAACTTTGTGTCTTTCAAACTCTGTGTGGGGATAAAGAATGGGGGGGGAGGGCGCGGGGGGGGGGGAATTCAGGGAACTGGCACACAGGGAACTTCCTCTTGCAGGTAGAGGAGAATGGAAGTTTCAGTTAAGCCATCATCAACTGGTGGGTGCCTAGGAGCCAGCACGGTTTGCATTCAGCTGCATGGTACAAAAGGAGTGTCTTTGAGGTGATGGGGGAGAATGCACCCCGTTTATGCATTCTCTGACTCCCAAGGGTTCTTAGCCATAGGGGCAGATGTGGAAACCTAAACATTGCAATGCCAGTACAAAAGGTAGTTAGCATAGTTGCTGCATCTAGAGAAATCTAGGGTGAGGGAGTACACCTAAGACAGCCACACCTTACTTAGCTCCTGCCGGGGGGCTCAGGCAAGAGGTCATGTCCTTCCATGATGTCCTGAATTCCACCTGGGTGGGTGACCTCCAGGGGCCCAGGGCCTCGTGGTTTGGGGGGCTGTAGTTGCCTTGTGAATGTCTGGTGGAAACCCAGAGGTGCGTCTGAAGAGGCTTGGGCTCTGTGATGGAGGGTGTCGATGGGTACAGGTCGTGGGAGTGAGAACCGTCATGTCTGGGGAAACAACTGCCTTGTTTGCCTCGGGCCTCCCTTCCTGCAGCCGAGAGACCTGTTAGCTGCTCAGGAGTTTGCTGTTCTCTGTGCTGTACCCTGTGAGCTCTATGCTGACTGGGGCTGAGTTGGAGCAGGGGGACAGGAAGGAAGGATGAGGCCAAAGACTCATGGACCATGTATGTTCAAGAGCTGATTAAATCAGAGGGAGTTACAGACTAAAGGAGAGAAACCAGCAACATGTGAATTGGATATCTTGGATTAAAACACCCGTGACCCTCATTACTTACCTGACTGGGTTTGTTTATGAAGGCGGGTGGTATCATTTCTCCTGAGCCTGCACGGGCACTAGTCTTACTTGCCTTCAGTCACGTGAAAATCTAACATATTTTAGTTACTAAACTTCCTCTTCTTTAAAAAATACTATTGAGAGAGCAGGGGAAGAGAGAGACAGAGGAAGAAAAGGGGTTGCCAGCTTACATTTAAAGGATTTGGTTGTGTGACAGGGAGACCTAAGTGTGCTAGGTTTCAGGGGTCAGTGCTGGGGAGATGGCTCACTCAGGAAGAAGCATGCTTTGTGAGCACGAGGCTCTGACTTTTATCTCCCGAACCCGTGTAAAAGCCAGGTGTGGCAGTGCGCACCTGGAGTCCCAGCCCTGGGGAGGCAGGAGATTCCTGGGGCTGGCTGGCTGGCCAGTCTAGATGAATGTGGGTGTGGGAGGGATGGGAGGTTGTGGGTGGATCCTGAAGTAGCAGGGGAGTCAGGATGAGTATGACCCAAATACATTGAAGGCCTGTATGGAAATCCTCAAAGAGTTAATAAAAAATTAATAAAAAAAATCTAAATTGCATAGTGGCCTGAATCTGTAATCATCCTAATACTTGGGAGGCTGAGGCAGGAGAATTGCAAGTTTGAGGTCTGCCTGGACTAGAGAGTAAGTTCAAAGTTACCCTGAGCTATATAGCGAGGTACTGACTAAAAACTAAAAAACCCGTTATAAATCCAAATGAAGTAGTTTTGATTTTTGTTTTTCAAGACAGGGTTTCTCTGTAGCTTTGAAGCCAGTTCTGGAACTAGCTTTTGTTGGCCAGGCTGGCCTCTAACTCACAGAGATCCGCCTGCCTCTGCCTCCCGAGTGTTGGGATTAAAGTCGTGCGCCACCACTGCCCAGCAAGATGTAGTGTTAAGTACCTTTTATTCAGTAGAAGTTTCTCTCTAGACATACCCCACCCTACTATAATCATGGGGTAGTAGAGACCACATTTCTAAGTTGATTGCCCCATGGCCCCTGCCTGCAATTATGCTTCTTGGCAGCCTGTTTGGCCCTGTTCTGGACACCTCTTTTCTCCAAAGCTAGATACATTATTATTATGTACTATAGTCATAGTGTTCACATGCGTGCATGTATGTGCATGCGTGCCTGTGTGTGTTTCAGAGCAATGAAACTTTTGCGCTCCCCTAGGTTGCAAGGTCAGCTGCAATCTGTGTGTTGGGCCACAATTTGTTTTGCAGAAAGGGGTTCATTTAATTTTTAATAGCTGAAGGCCTACATGTTATGCAACATTTCAAAGCATCAAGCTTGCAAACAATGGGATAGAATTTTGCATGTCTCTGTCCTTTGGCCTCCCATTCCTGCTCTGTACTCTTAACTAGGTCTCAATTTTTGTGTTGAGTTCTATATCTGGAGATGTTCTATGGATACACTAATGTGAATTTCTTTCCTCTCCCCTAGCTTTACTGAGATACATCTGCCAGCTAAAATTACATATACTTATGATGTACAACATGATATACATTGCGATATGGTTACCATATTCACACACACACACAAACACACACATCACACACACAGAGATATCTTTTTGCGGTAAGAACATTTAAAAAGACTTACTGTCTAGTGAATATCAAGTACATAATCCAGCAATATTAACCCTACTCTCTACATGGTAGAGTGGCCAATGATTAAGACTGGAGTTCATTTGGCATGTTTTTCCTTCTGTTTGTGTTATGAATGAAGGCCCTAGCTTCACTTACTCACTGGTGCTCACTCACGTCTTATTACTGAATCCTTTTATTCTTTGACTAATATCTCCCAAATTCCCTGCTCTCAGCCTGGCACCACCATTCTATTCTTTGCTTGCATGAGTTAGACTTTTCAGATCCCATGTGTGAGATGCATCTGTCTCTTTCTGAGTCCGTCTTATTTTTACTTAGCACTATGTCCTTCAGACCCACTCACAATGTAGTAAATGTTCTTATTTTTAAAGGTGAGTAATATTCTATGGAGTTTGTATTAGCATCACATTTTAAATCCCACTCAACAGTGGACAACTGGTTTGTTCTGTATCTTGGTTGTTTTGAGTAGTTTAGTAAGCATGGGAATAATCTCTTAGTTGATTCCAGGCTTATTCACCTTGACAACCAAGATTAACCATGACAATTAGTGATGATAAAATTTATTTATTTGTTTATTTGTATATCTTCTTTTGAGAAATGTCTATTCAAATCTGTTGCTTATTTATATAAAGTTATTATTATTATTATGATTTTTTTGCTATTGAGTTGAGTTCCTTATATATTTTGGATACAAATCTCATACTATATTTATGCTGTCATGCTTTGGATAAGGGTACAGTCCCCAGCCTTGGGGACACTGCCTCTTTGGAGGCACTGGAACACTTGGGAGGTAGGACCTAATGAGAGGTTGTAGTTGATATTTTATTATTTTACTCTTTGCTCTTTGGCTCTTTGTTTTTTTTTTGTGGGGGTCACCACCTAACTCCTAAATAAATAACACATGGAGTCTTATTCTTATTTAAGAAAACCTGGCCTTAGCTTGACTTGTTTCTAGCTAGCTTATCTTAAATTATCCAATTTATCTTTTGCCTCTGGGCCTTTGTCTTTCTCTATTTCTGTGTACCTTTCTTCTTTCTCTGTGACTTGCTGTGTAGCTGGGTGACTGGGTGGCTTACACCTGGAGTCTTTCTCTCCTCCTCTTGATCTCTTTCCCCCATCTTTCTTCCCAGATCTCTCCTGTTTATTTTCTCTGCCTGACAATCCTGCCTATTTTTTTCTCCTGCCTTGCTATTGGCCGTTCACCTCTTTATTAGACCAATCAGGTGTTTTAGATAGCCAAAGTAACACAGTTTCACAGAGTTAAACAAATGCAACATAAAAGAATGCAACACATCTTTGCATCATTAAAACTAATGTTCCATAGCATAAACAAGTGTAACACATCTTAAAATAATATTCCACAACAGGCAGTCTTAGGCTACTGGGATATGAACAGATTTCCTCTGCTCTACACTTCTGCCATGAGGTTGGTTACCTTGCCAAATGTCCCAAACCAGGAGGACTAGTTGGCTATGGACTAGAACCTCCAAGGCTTTGAGTTAGAAGAAACCTTTCCTTTAAGGTTGTCTTAGCAGTTTGTTATACTTCTGCAAAGATGGCTGGCAACCCTGGCACACAAATACAAAACCATGGCATACAAATATTGCAGAAGTTATCTTCCCTTATGATGATTGTTAGTGTGAAAGATTTTCAAACTTTGATGGAACCTTATTTGTCTGCTTTTACTGTTGGTGGTGTACCTTAAAAAAAAATCATTGCCCAAACAACACTAAGAATTAGTTTTT